AGTTGTAATTCGAATGCTGCATCTAGGGTATATTTTAACCAAGTTGACAGAGGGGATACAACCCTCCTGTTGAGTTCTACTGGTATTCCATCGGGACTGGTCATATTCCCCGAAGGAGACACAGCCAAGGCCACCTGAAATTCCTTAAGGGTGATGGGTTCACAAGGCTCTTGGGCTAATTTGGGAAGAGATATTTTCCCCAGGAAGGAATAAAGTCTTGCTGAAAGGAGAGTCGGATTTATAATATTCCATGAAACATTAATTGATCTCTTTGGTTCTCCTAAGAGGTAGATCTTTTCCTTTACGTATGAATGAGATGTATGCGCGGTGCCTCCTGGTTTTGATAATTATTGACAATATCATTAGAGTGGCTGGAGAACGATCATTGTAGGGGTGCCTAGCTCTTTGGTATAATCTGCTTCTCTGGTCGTTTATTCGTTTGCTCGTTATAATCTTGTCCCATCTATTTCTTCAATAATTTCTGTTAAGCACGTGGTTTTAAATATTTTGTGTAGCTTAACCAAAGCGTCTTCCAACTGTAGTTGCTTTTCCCAGGTTTCTTTTAAGCCTCCATACTCTCTATTACAGAGCCCCTAATATATGTTTAGAGTGGACCAGGATGTCGGTTACCCGCACATCGTGCACAAATCGAGCACGCCGCCCTGCACCAGTCAGATGGGGAGGGGAGCTTGGGGTCCAGATCGTCTCATGAGGATGAAGTGGCCGATGGAGCCCGGGGCACTGGGGCTTGCAGTCAGGCAACCCGGGCGCCCCCGGTCGGGTCTGACATGGAGCTCCACACATGTTGCACGGCATGTACACTAAACACTAGGAATGGCTTTAAAAGTTGTATAATTTCCTGTAGATGTCACTGTTTTTTCACGTTCTGCAAATGTAGTTGCCACCACCATAATCTATTGCTTGGAGGTTAAACTTACGACTCTCGGTCCGAACATACTACTGGACATACGGACAGGTTTGTTCGTATCTCTGAGAGTTTGTAAGTCGAATGTTCGTAAGTAGGTGAGTCCCTGTACATCATTTCCGTCTCGTTGTTTCGTTGATCCGATTTTTTCTGTTGATTTTATGATTACAGTGTTACCTGGTACTGGTCATTCTGAGTTTATCAGGAGTTCTGTGAAGCAACTCTGCGCTTTATGTAAAGGGAACACTACCGCGTTGCATTAAGCGACTGTTGTCTAGCAGGAGGAACCGGTTGGGTAGGTCGCAGAGTTCAGTCAAGAACACAATCATAATCCTTATTTAGACTGCAGGAGGAGGTATCTGATGAGCTATGAAGCTCCTTTCTTGGAAGTCCAGTAGGGGGCACGGGGTCGGCGAGTTATATTACACAATACAAATACAAACCGAGTATATACCGTTAGTATACCACAGTGTACACAGTACACCACACAGTATACTCAGTACACAAGACACCACAAAGTATACTCAGTAAACACTACACCACAGTATACAGTCAGTACACACGTGTGTGTACTGACTACACACTACACACACATTGTACACACAAAACCACACAGTATACACAGTAAACAGATTCAGAATCTTTATTTAGACCAGAGGAATCCGATAAGCCTCCAATAGAAGGCATGGGGTGTCTTGGAGTTACATCAACAACAACAATACAAACAAACCGATGTCACGAGAGTAAGACAAATGAAGAATAAGCAAGTTGCTTAAAACACAATATATAAAAAGGACCAATAGTCCGAAACTTGCGAACACCCGCACTTACAAAACCAGCTTCCATGACATGTTGAAGGAGCTAACAGCAGGAGACCCCAGCAGTGCACGCAGTCGCGGCAAAGGTGATTCCCGGCTCAGCACCAAGGCGGGGGAGTCCACCAGGGCAACCCCAAAAGCAACCCGATAGGTCAGGCGAAGATCCACGGAGGAGCCCGGAGCCAGACAGGAAGGCAGACGGTGGCAAAGCAGACGAGTGTGCGCCACGAAGTGGGGTGGGGGGGGAGCAGCCCAAAGTTTGTGGTGGCTCAACGCTACGACAGCGAGTCGGGAAGCCGGCTAGGGTGCCGTAGCAAAAATAATGGGCCATAAAGAATAAATACAAAAGGGAAAAATAGGGAACTGAAATACGAAGGGTGTGGGAGGAAGGAAGAAGGGGTGACAGGGGGGACTGGGAGCAAAAGCTGGAGCAGAGAATCGCTGCCTGCAGATGCAGAGCCATCTGATGCGTTGGTCGTGTGCAAGAGACTGCTGTTGGTAGGCAAGTAGCTAACTCTATGAGATGGCTCGGGACCGAAGGGGAGGCCCCCTCCATTTAGAAAACCTTCCCTGCCACCTGCGAGGCGTGCACAGGGGGTCTTCACCCCGATTAATCATCTCCCTGAGCTGTTGGAAGGCCGCGTGACCTTGGGTGGCAGGGGTATTTTTTATTGGGTGCAATTGTGAACAATAGCCATATCAGACATGAGTACATCTAATCGGAATAATAATTGGTTCACTGCAGCTCAACGACTCAGTCCCTACAATGCATGTGGTGAAGTGAGTAGATGTACCATGTGTTCTGCATTTAAAGGCCTGAAGACCAGAATCGGTGATTTCATCGACAATTAGTTCAGATATTAGGCCGCGCTCACGCCGCAAGCAGAGGAACCACCGCCGGGTAATTTGAATTGTAAATGAAGCGGTTCCCCCTCTATCAGGCGAGATCAGGCACGGCCCGATATTACTCCGCCATGCACCACCAGAGGTCGAGAAAAATCAAGGAAAGCGCCGATTCGCAGTATGTGTGTGGCGCGAAGGGCCTCCTTTAGGTTTTGCTCGCACCACTCCTAAGCTGTCTCTGCACCGAAAATCCTGGAGCAAAGTTTTCGCGGGGCGGGGTGGGGGCTATAGAGCTGTAGAAATACACACATATATTACATGCCCACAATCCGATAATGGTATAGATATACCCCAACCACAGCTGCCGTTCACTACTAAGTGGCAGTGACGGTACCTTGACGCTTGTGCCAGGCTAGGTGCCACGTGAAGTGTGAAAGGCTCACCAGCAGGAAACTAAGCACGTTGCTGGTTATATACATATACAAAGATCCCCCATTTCGCCTTGACAGACTGTTGGGGCAAGTGCTGTTAGCGAACACCTATGAAGGCCGGCATGGCACACGAGGGAGTGAGTGGCCAGCAACATGCCCGCACAGACGCACAGATACGTTTAGAGCAGGGGTCCTTAAACTTTTTAAACAGGGGGCCAGTTCACTGTCCCTCAGACCGTTGGAGGGCCGGACTATAGTTAAAAAAAACTATGAACAAATTCCTATGCACACTGCATATATCTTATTTTGAAGTGAAGAAACAAAACGGGAACAAATACAATACAATATTTAAAATGAAGAACAAGTAAAGTTAAATCAACAAACTTGCCAGTATTTCAATGGGAACTATGGGCCTGCTTTTGGCTAATGAGATGGTCAATGTCCGGTTCCATATTTGTCACTGCTAGTCGTAACAAGTGATGCAAGTGTGCATCCGTTAGTCTAGATCTGGTTGGAGATTTCAAATGTTTCATTCTGGAAAAAGTCTGTTCACAGACATAAGTGCTGCCAAAGATGGTTGCCATTTTGAGTGCATGGTTCCTGAGATGAGGATATGTCTCAGAGGGGAGAGATGCATAGAAATTATGAAGGCTGGTTGACTTGAATGCGTCTTTCAGAGAGTCACAATTCTGCAGTTCAGCCAGTTCCATTTGGTAAATTGTATCCACATTTTCAATGTCAATAGAAAATGGGTTACGGAAAAGCTTTATGTCCTGTTCATGGAGATGAAGCTCTTTAAATCTAAATTGGAACTCCTTTTGCAATTTTTCCAGTGAATCCACACATGTTTTGTTTGGGAATGCAACCAATGGTTTTTCCGCTAACAGATTTTGAGTTGTGGGGAGATGGTAGAAGTTTTCCTCCTTCACTTGTTTGATGAGCACACAGGAATATCACTGGGAGTGGAGCCGAGGGGCAAGTGAGGGAGCTGAGGGAGGGAGAGCCAGTCAAGCGCAGCCAGGGGAGGGCTGGCAGCATTAGGCCTGGGGGGCAAGTCCAGTCAATTGGCCCATTGAACCATTCACAAGCGCAGCCCAATGAGTGCCCACCGCCGCAGCTCAATCAGTGCTCACCAGCGCAGCCAAATCAGTGCTCGCCACCACAGCCCAATCAGTGCCCACCACCGCAGCCCAATGAGTGCTCACCAGCGCAGCCCAATTAGTGCTCACCAGCGCAGCCCAATAAGTGCTCACAAGCACAGCCCAATTAGTGACCATGGGCCAGATAAATGTCCTCGGTGGGCCGCATGTGGCCTGCGGGCCGTAGTTTGAGGACCCCTGGTTTAGAGCAATCCACCTACATAGAGACACACTCACCATGAACCGATGACCGCACGGGCACTTCCTACTCTACGAAGCGGGGTGGAATATTAACCCGTGTGAGGTCGCGAGGTGTAAAGTGGTTTCTCAACCGAGGTGGGCGACGATGGGGGGAAGAGGAGGAGGACCCAGGAGGGATGCACTCTGGGCGAGTACACCTCGGGGTCGCCCCTCCGCCCCCAGACGCCCCCCCTCCCCCACGCGTCGCTCTATGATTTTTGGTTCAGAGAGGCAGCTCAATGGAGGCCAGAGGTGGGGGAGGGGGTACCACCCCCTTCCGTGCGTGTGTGGGGCGAACCGCTGCCAGTTGGCTTCCAGGGATAGCAGTCCCTGCGCGCTCAAGTGAAAGGACTGTCCTCCCATACAGGGGATGAGGACACCGAGGAGGAGATGGAGACCTGCCGGGGCGGCCTCATCGAGTCCGCGCGCCAGGCCCGGCGACGTAGCAGAGGGGCCACGCGACGCACACCGTCAGGACTTGCTCGCAGAAACTGAATGATGATGGTGGCCCGAGGTCCTGGCAGAAGTGGGCAAGGCCTCGGGGTGGCGCAGCCTCACCAATTATGCTGATGTAGACTTTGCATCGCATAACACATCGTCTCTCTCAGAGGTAATTAAAGGAAATCGTCAAGTCTCCTCTGTGAGCCCATTTGCCCTTCAGTTCCATCTTCCCCTCTTCACTGAAGCCATTGCCCCGCACCCTGCAGCACACAGAGAGGTTCACGGCAATCGGGGTTCATAGGAGCCCGAGGCAGCTCCTCGCAGCTCGAAACCCAAGCAGTCCCCACAGCAACAACAACAACCACCCTGTGGGAGTTAGTTTACCATACTTCACCAAACTGGTCAGTGAAGATAGGTGATGGCTGGGACTGCAGATGTGGCATATAGGTTTCCATTATTTAATGCGGGTTTAGTTTGTGCGATTCTGTATACGAGGCTAACACATTTCTATCCAAACTTCACTATATATGTGGTTTGAATTCACTCATATGCCAACACTGTCTATGTACTGTATGTGCTATTCGGCAGGCAAGCAGCTGTCTCGTGCGGTTTCACTTTGTCCATATTTTTTTTGGAATGCATCGACCGCATACAACGAGCAAAACCTCTCTTAGTACGGTACTATGGTGGGATTGTGCGATGCTGCATCCTGCTGACAGCAACACCCTGCAGCCCATAACACTAGTTTTTATTCCTGGTTGTCACCCACCTAATAATTATCCACGCTCAAACCTGCTTCTCTTCCAGATCTGATAGGAACAGGCACATTCCCAGTGATTTGGCCGTGTGCCTGGGACTCAGAATGAAAATCAAATGCACTACAATACACAACACTATTACTAATCTAACCACTGGCAAATAGCGCTTCTTCATAGAGCAAACATGTGCTCCAAAGAAAGGTCATTACCCGAAATGTCACCAATTACATATTTTCTTTCACGGCAGTGTTTTTTTGTAATGATAATACGCAGTTTTCACACAAAGAGCGTGTTAGAAATGCGTAGAACATCTTTACCCGAGCCACCACAATGCTCTGTTGGTGCTGATGATGTCATGAAGACCCACGATTGATTTGTCCGTCAGTGAGCAGCGATCCAGGCTACAGGGAGAAAAGAGACGAGTCGGGGTTGAGCAGAGATTGAGAGATGGTGGAGCAGCGCAGAGTGACGGATGCTGAGCGGTGGAGAGGGGTGAATACGTGACTGTGGAGACAGTGGAAGACGAGAGCACCAGCTGTAATAGGAGCTCGCAAATAGCAATTGCTCTCAAGCTGAGTAACATCAGCCGCAGCAGTAACAGCGCTCACTGCCTTTATCATCTTCTTCATCATCTTCTTCATCATCATTATCACAGCGACTCGAGGCGTCAGTGGCATTCCAATTAATTCCCAAGGGTGTACCAATACTTGTCCGTTGGAAGACCCGACCTTCATCGTTCTCCCCGCTAATTACCACAGAAAATCGTGGCCAGGGCGGACACCTGAATGTGGTACTATCCCACGTCTTTTGCGGAGCGACGTGCCAGGCAACCCCACCAGCCCATCCTCCCCTCCCCCTCTGTCCTACCCGAGGCCCCCACCTTTTGGGTGCCTCGCTCCTTCCCTCACTAATACCCCCAGGACCGCTAAATGTTTCGTGATAACCAGGTCTTGTCGAGGCCCAGTCCAACCTATACTGGCTGCCAGTAGGGTCGTGATAGCGCGTGGACTGCCAACGGTCTCCAAGGCGAGGCTGCGTTCTCCTCCAGGGCTGGCACGGACGTCTGATTACATCTGGCTCCACTGCTCCATTTGTCTCGCCAACCCATCTTTTATATTCTCTATCCTACCCGAGCCCCCCCCCCCCCGCCACCTTTTTCGGACGCACCTCTACTTCCCTCACCGTCTCCACTGGGGCATGGAGTGGTTGAAGGTGTTAGCGGCTCGAGTGCGGGCGTAGCTTGCAAAGGGGCCGTCCATAAATGACCATATTTACGTTTTGAAATAAAACATGCTTCAAATCGCTTTAAACTATTGTCATTGTGGTGAGTATTTAATGTGGTGCTGCACTCTGATGTTATAGGAGTGTTATTATAACAATTAGTGTTGTTATACCAATTATATATTTATTTAAAGTTGCGCATTTTGATGTGACATCACATTTCTCAACCCCCCCCACCTCGTCACACATCGTCACAAATGTCTGACCCCCCTAGGTGCGTGATGTCATTTATGGACGGCCCCAAAGGACGCTGCATGAAAAATCAGCGTAGAGGAGTGGCGTGAGTGGCACAGGATTATGTGGTGGGCGGTGGAAGCAATGTGCAGCAGAGCAAAGTCGTGCAGCAGCATGCATGTATGTTGAACTTCTTTCGCACCGTACGTAGCCAACCATTCTAATAGGTGGTACGGGGGGAATGACAGAAAACTGAACACAAAAAGTAGCTATATAGAAAAAAAACGAGTTTAGATCTATATTTAAAAGCGCACAGCTCCAGTGGCTTCCTAATATTAGAAGGAAAAGCGTTCCAGACAGCCGCAGAAGCACATCTGAAAGCGTTTTATGCAGTGAACATCTTTTTTCGATGGCCAGCGGCATGTGGAGCGAGTGTGGGAGTGTATTGCCGGGGAGTTTGTTGTATGATGTGAACAGCATAAATCCTGCTCCTGTTTTCACTTGCAAAAGCTTGCTTGCCTCCAGTGAATTTTTCTTTTTGGCTCCTCTTTCTCGTTCACTTATTTAATTCTCCTTTTCTCTCACTCCTCCTAGTGGATCGACCCCACCTATCTCTCTGCTCCTTGTCCTCCAACTATTCCACCATTGCCTCCTCTATCTTGCTGCCGTGCATGCTTCTCTCGCACCACTTATCCACATTCACCTCTCGAATCGTCCCATCCTCTCCTCCTGCCATACCATTCCCCTACCTTATGCCCCTCCACTCTACCTCCCTCTCCGCCCCTCCTCAATCCTTTCCCCCTCTCTACCTCATTCCCTTCACTTTCCAATGATTCCCTCTGTCGTCCATTCTCACCTATAATACTAAACTATTTTCATTTTACCAGATAAGGCCCACTGAGCTATTTAGCTCTTTTTTTAGAAGCGACCTGGCCACAAATTATAGCTCAAGCAAGTGGTTTGTCACGTGGAAATTGACATCAGCCACATACTCTAAAAGCATAATTCTAAACGTGGAAAGAAAACCCGGAGGACTCCGTTGAAAATCCACGTGCCCGAAGGTAGAACATGTAAACTCCAAATATACAGGTGTCAGGATCGAACACAGGACCTCCTGTATACCAAGCAGGATAGTCAACATCTCTGAGCCACCATGGTGCCCTACATTTCACTCCCACGATAATTAACACGTTCCTTCGGAGTGGGCAGGTAGGAACTTGGTTGGACAGCGCATTCGTGCGACCCGTGTCACGTGGTGCAAGCTGCGTGGGGTGGCGCATCACGTGGTGCTGAGCCCGCCTGAAGCGCTCTATGAAATACAAATAGAGGGCGTGGCTATGCACGACAGACAGACAAATAATCCCTGGTGGGCAGTGTGGAATTGTTGTTCCTACCTGTATAATTTCCTTCCACTAGCTCTCTCACTAATTCCCTAAAATTGCTGTTCTAATATATCCTCAATGTTCTTCTACTAAACTCCTGGGACGTAGGCCCATTTGTTGATAACCAAATATCCGTTAGTAAGCTGTTAGTCTTGCTCCTACTCATGAGCCGGATTGAACGTAACTCTGGGCCTACATCGTTCCTCCCTCTTCTTTATTTAGCGCAACCAACTTTGCTAATCGTTCCGGCTTGGGCATCCTCCATCTGAACATTCTAGATTTCTGAATAACAAAACTGGACCTTCTCAAGCTTGAATAAGAGAACCGCTGACCAGACATTGTCTGCACCAGTGAAAATTTGGCTCTCATCTATAAATAACACAAATTAAATTTGTATGCATAACTTTAGAGTTTATAGGTCCTCTCTGCATTTTTGGATTTGTGTGCATTTGTGCGTCTGTCTCATTTGTGTTTCTGTGTGTCCTATAACGCCTCCCATTTCCTCTTGAATTCATCCAATTTCTTTAATAACTAACAATTATCTCACCTTCCTCCCATTTCCTAAAAACTTCTTCCATTCCCTCTCAAACTACTCCCATAAATGTGTGTGTGTGTGGGGAGTGATATTGCAGCGGTTAGCGCGCTGTGCTATGAACCCCACAACCAAAGTTCGATTCCTGTTCACAGCCAACACCAGTGGCGATTATCTGAACCGGTCATGGGCCTCCCCTAAGTTTATTCAGCCTCAAATGTACCTGGTGCGGTGTGTTAGTAAACATCGCCACTGGTGGACAAAGGCGGACGGGCGTGGTGCTAGCCACCCACCCCCTCGTGTGGCATACCGGCCTTCATAGGTGCTCGCTAAGAGCACTTGCTCCAACAGTCTGTTGAGGCTATATGAGGGATCTTTTATCGTTGTATTTATGTGTTTGTGCATGGGGGGGGGGGGGGTGATGATGCAGTGGTTCGCGCACTGGTCTAAGAACCCGACGACTCGAGTTTGATTCCGGCGCACGGCCAACATTGGTTATAAATATGTGAACGGGTCCTCGGCCTCCACTAGGTCAATTGAGCCTTAAATAATTACCTGGTGCAGTGTGAGAACATCAGCATTGAGGAGATAATGGTGATAATGATGTAATGCTGGCCACCCACCCTCCTTCCCTCATTTGGTGTGCTTATTTCAAGCGAGCCTTCGACATTTCACGTGGCCTCAAAGTGGACCTGGCCTGGCGCCATGGTGATATCACCACCACTTACTTGCGAATAACAGCTGTTGTTGTTATGTGTATGTACGCGTGTATGTAAGTGTGTATATGTGGGTTGCACGAGGACATCACTTACTATAACATCTCCAAACGCCCTTCTCTCCCCGCCATCCCATCCACCAGAAGTTGGATGATGTCTGTAAGGTTGTTGCCACTCAGCCTAAACCCACGAAAGAAGGAAGAACGCCGACTCAATGCAGCCCTTGAATCTATTATCTCCTCTTTCAGGTTTCCTCACCATTTCTTTGCTGGCGACACACACGCATCTTATTTTCCTTTTCCTCTTTCACCCCTGATATTTCCTCTGGCATCTGCTCCACCTGTCTTGCTGCCATCCAATATTGGATGGCGTCTTCTTTCTCTCAATTCGTCTAAAACTTCAATCATTTTCTTGACAGCCTCTCACTCTCCTCCTCCCATCCCAACCATCTCCTTCCCTCCTTTCTCCCTCACTCCTGTTTGCGCTTCCCTCAACATTTGTGTCACCTTTGCTTCTTCCCTCACCCATTCCACCCACATCTCTGCTACTACTCGCATCTGCCGCTTTCATCTGTTCAACATCATTTACCTGGCGCGAGTTGTTAAATCTCTCCATGGCATTTCCCAACCTGATCTCGCCTCTCTCGTCTCCTTCCATGTCCCCTTCTCGTCCTCTTTGTTCCCCAATCGTTCCCAATCTTGTCTCGGTCTCTCTATGTCACTCCTGCTCCCTGTGCTCAATGCCGTCTTCACTTTTTCACTCTCCTTGCACCGCTCCACTGAAATAAATTTATCTTAAACATGAAGCAGCGCTGCCCATAGACTCAACACTGCTGACAGACTCAACACTGCCCATAGACTCAATACTGCCACTGTACATGAAGCATTCCTCCTCTATAATAACCTCCTTCCATTCCTCTCTTAAAGCCTCACCTCTTCTCTATCATCCATTAACTCAACAATGTCCATATACTCAACACTGTCCATACACTCAACAATGCCCATAGACTCAACACTGCCCCTGACATGAAGCAGTCCCCCGCCATAATCTCCCTTCATTCTTCTCTTAAAGCCTCACCTCTTCTCCACCGTCCATTCCAGCCCTTTTGTGACCCCACGTGCCCTCTGTTATGGTCTCTCATTCCTCGGCCCTTGTACTGTTCTTGCCATATAAATACATCTGTTTTGTTTCGATTTAAAGCTTTTGTGACTGCAGGGATTCATCTTCTTGGTTCTTTCGGTAAAGTCACGTAGAAGGGAAGTAATAAAATAATAAAAAATAAAACATAATAAAATAATTCTCACTATTATTATGTTTCATTTTTAATTATTTTATTACTTCCCTTCTACGTGACTTTACCGAAAGAAACAAGAAGACATCTGTTTTGGTTACCGATTTTAAACTATGGAAACCCCCTTGAGCTAAGGCATAAAATAAGATATGCAACAACTTTTGGACACTCAAAATCCGGGTGAACATGACCAGCGCACAGCTGCTTACAGTTTTATTCCAGTGGTATACATTTATATATATAAACCAGGAGACATTTAAAAACATTGCTATACTCAACAATTTTTGTCATTCTGCACTGCACCATTATAATCTAGAAAAGTTTGCATTTATATGAACATAATGTTGGATCAGTAGTTTTTAAACGAGTTGTTTTGCATCTATGATCACAGGGACGTGTTTTATAATTAACATTGTGAATATGAAGATGAATTTAACAAATGTGTTAAGGTTCCAGTAAAACTTCCTGAAGCTGGTATCAATTAAGGAGGGATCCTGGGTAACCGAGAAATCATCCCCTAAATGGCTTTACATATATAGGGCATTAGTCAGATTTTAAAATAAACCAATAAACTATGGGTAGAAAACTGCTCACATGTGTAATGCGGGCGTAAGCGACCTTCCGGATGTGACGTCACGGAGAGGTGGAGTTATGTGACGTGGGAGAAAGGTTCGGGTCCTTAAGGGGAGAAACCGGAAGGAGACGGGAGAGAGTGGGAGACTGAGCAAGGGTGAGGCCACGCAGGGCGAAACCAGGGAAGGGTGGCACCGTCGATCAGCGGTGACCAACCACGGGAGCAGCCAGCGGGGCTGCGGGAGGAGACAGCAGTGGGGCTGCTGGAGAGGGAGAGCGGTGGAGGAGCTGCAGCGAGTACAGCCAGGGAGGCTGTGTATGGGAGACAGCAGCAAGGCTGCTAGGAGCTACGGGAGCGACAGGGAAACAGCCGCGAGGCTGTCCGAGGCTACGGGAGCGACACGAGGAGGAGCTGCAGCGAGTACAGCCAGGGAGGCTGCGTGAGAGTAACAGCAGCGAGGCTGCTAAGAGGCTACGGGAGCGACGGATGGCGCGTTGGTTGGACACGCTGCAGGAATTTTCCTTCCAAATTCACCATCGGAAGGGGGTGCGCCATGCCAACGCAGACGCACTTTCCAGATTGCCGCAGCGCTCCCCTTGCAAATGTGCGTCGGGGACGCATAGATGTACGCCCAGTCTATCCCCCCCTCAGCCGCTGGCGTTAGCTGTCGAGAAGTCGGATGCTCCGATGGAACCGGGCCCGACTGACGGGGTTTTGAATCTGCCGCGGTCTGTTTGGATTCGGGAGCAGATGATGGATGAGTCGTTATTGTCCTTGCGGAAGCGATCTAAGGTGGAGAATGGGAGTCCGGGTACGGATGGGGTACCGGAAACCGCTCTCCGAGATGGTCTGCTCATGTGGAGGGAAGGACTCCAGGAACGCTGGCGTCTGGTTGTGCCAACGTCCCTGCGATACGAGTTAATTAGAACTCTCCATTGTGACACGCTATTACATCTGGGTGTGCAGAAGACTTTATTGACGTTGCAACGTCATTACTTTTGGCACGGCATGGCGACAGATGTCGTAGGGCACGTCCGCGCGTGCCCTGATTGTGCCCGACGTAAGCCACCTAAACATCCTTATGTGCCGCCTATACAGTCAATTCAGGTGTCTCGGGTTAATGAATTGGTGGCACTGGACATTTTGGGACCTTTCCCACCATCGGCGAGGGGTAATAAATATTTGCTGGTTGGGGTTGAGTACCTCTCCCGTTGGCCGATGGCCTGGCCGTTGCCCGACCAATCGGCCGTGACCATTACCGACGCCTTTTTGTTCGGGTACGTTATGGACAAGGGTGCGCCTGAGAGACTCCTCACGGACCAGGGCCGAAATTTCTCTTCTAAATTATTGGCGGAAGTGTGCGCGGGCCTTGGGACTAAGAAAGTACGGACATCCCCATACCATCCGCAAACGGATGGTATGGTTGAGCGGCTAAACCGGACATTGTCTGCCATGCTGTGCCATACGGTGAGTGAACAACAATCGGATTGGGACCTGCACATCCCGGGGGTGCTTTCGGCGTACCGGATGACTCCTCATGCGGCTACAGGTTATTCGCCGTTTTACCTTATGTATGGTCGGGAAAACGTGCCGCCGATGGATGTGCAATTGGGAACCGGTGTGAGGGGACCTCGTAAACCACTCCCAGATTACATTCGGGACACTGTTCGCCGGGTCACGGAGGCGCGGGAGAGTGCCCGCGCGGCTACGGCCAAAGCCCAGGCCCGGAACGAGAGGTATGCTCGACGTTCCAAGGGGGAGTGCCCCTGGAAGGTTGGGGACCTGGCCTGGCTCCATTGCCCGCAGGTGCGGCCGGGAACCTCTCCTAAATTTCACAAACCTTGGCAAGGGCCCGTCCGCCTCATTGAGGTTCCCAACCCTCAGTCGGCGCGTGTTCAGGTTGGATCTCGCCGCTGGTTTGTTCACACGTCGCGCTTGAAACCATATGTTGCTCCCCTACATGATACGTCATCTCCTAATGTTGCCTTGCCGGGGTCTGTTGCTGCCGACTCTCCCCTGCCTGCGTCCATTGATCTTGCAAGAGCGCCTGTCGTGCCTGTTCCAGACAGACCGGCCGTGACGCCACAGGTGACGAAGGGCCCTGCTCGGAAGGTGCCTGCCAGGACTGCGGGAACTCCGGGCCCTGCGGCCCTTCCGACCCCGCTGCAGGCACATTCGCGGGACACGTCCGGGGCTAATTCTTCAGGGACACGGGACGTTGGTGGACCTCAAACATCGACAGGAGGATTACGCCCTGTCACTCCTCAAACTCCATCGCGTTCCCGCTCTGCGGGTGGGCCGCCGACCGTCCGGGACGGGCCGGCGACCCGCACACGTTCTAAATCCCTTACGTTTCGTTGATTGTTATGTTGCATTGTTGTTCTTACTGTTATATTTATTGCCTGCTTCTCGTACGTTCGTTGATTGTTATGTTGTGTTGATTGTTCTTACTGTTATATTGCATGCTTGGTGTCCTTTGGTGTGTCAAGGTCGGTTTCGCCCGCATTACTGTTGGTACTGTTCAGCCGAGGTCGGCTGGGTTTTTCTCTACGGGGGAGGGTGGTGTAATGCGGGCGTAAGCGATCTTCCGGATGTGACGTCACGGAGAGGTGGAGTTATGTGACGTGGGAAAAAGGTTCGGGTCCTTAAGGGGAGAAACCGGAAGGAGACGGGAGAGAGTGGGAGACTGAGCAAGGGTGAGGCCACGCAGGGCGAAACCAGGGAAGGGTGGCACCATCGATCAGCGGTGACCAACCACGGGAGCAGCCAGCGGGGCTGCGGGAGGAGACAGCAGTGGGGCTGCTGGAGAGGGAGAGCGGTGGAGGAGCTGCAGCGAGTACAGCCAGGGAGGCTGTGTATGGGAGACAGCAGCAAGGCTGCTAGGAGCTACGGGAGCGACAGGGAAACAGCCGCGAGGCTGTCCGAGGCTACGGGAGCGACACGAGGAGGAGCTGCAGCGAGTACAGCCAGGGAGGCTGCGTGAGAGTAACAGCAGCGAGGCTGCTAAGAGGCTACGGGAGCGACGGAGACCAACAGCGGGGCTGTTAGTGGTGACGGGTGTAACAACAGCGTCGGCACCGTGTGGAAAGTCTCAAAGGAGGACAGCCGTGTGGGAGACAGCAAACGAACCGAATAAAGGACACCAAGCCAGATATCGTGGTCGAGTCTTTTATTACACATGTACATCGGTCTGGAACAGGGGTAGGATACAGAGTTCTCTATTCTAATCAAGAGAATACAATTTGAGATTTCGATGCTAATCAAGTGTATAAAAATTGTGAAATCTTAATGCTTTTCAAGTGAGTTTCAGACAGTCATTCCAACTACTGCTAACTTAAAAACTGTATACACCTATGTAACTTCTCACGTTACAAAAATAATAATGAACACCATAAATAGATTTTTTTTTTTTTACCTTTTCAGGGAATCCTATCTAAAGGAATCATATTTGGTGGTGGGAATCAGGCTTTAGAAAGGAATCCTATCTAAAGGAATCCTATCTAAAGCCTGATTCCCACCACCATCCAGCCCAGAAGAATTCCCTCATCAAAACACGACACCATAGGGCCCATTGCATCTCCGACCAGCACCATCTATCCAGTGAACTGGAGCACGTACGCCAATCTCTCAAGATGAATGGATATTCGGACCGCACAATCCGCAAAGCTGTATCCCCAACCATGGGTAAAGAACCATCTGAGGACCCAATCAAAACCATCACCTTGCCATACATAGCAGGGCTTACCAAAAAGATTTCCAAAATCTTGAACAAACACTAGATCCAGGTTCGATTCAACACAGTACACAAAATCCGTGACCGGATCCGATCTGTTAAAGATGTGATTCCTGACATCCAATACCCTGGTTTCTACAAGCTAACGGTAGGACCAATAGCTCTGCCGACATTGTTTTTTTCCGAGAGCAAGCTACTCTGCAAACCTTTGGGCTAGCATCAAATATTTGTTCATGAAGCCATCCAGATATATAAACACAGACATAACTTCAACCGAGAAGATGGGTACAAATTGAGCAATAATTGGAAGGACATTATTAACCAGATAAAGTCTTAACTGGTTGTTGATGTTTCCATCCTACCTGCCATTGTCAACAGTTATTTCCGACTCTCTGAGTTACATTAGCAATTTAAATGTCTTTACACTAACGGCTAAATGTCTCACTAACAAAGCCAACGTTGCCCCTTTCCCTCGATGTGGTGGTGGCTCTCGTTTTTCAGCAGACTATAACTGGCTGTGATGTTGTTGTGTGTGTGTCTCTGTGTGTGTGTCTCTTTGTGTGTGTGTCTATCGGTTTGTGTGTGTCTCTCTCTCTCTGTGTCTCCTTGTATGTCTCTCTCTTTGTTTATCTTTGTGTGTATGGGTGTCATTTTGTGTGCGTGTCTCTCTGTGTGTGTGGGTTTGTCTTTCTGTGTGTCTCTTTCTGGGTGTGGTCATCTGTGTGTGTCTCTGTGTGTGTCTCTCTCTGTCTCTCTCTCTCTGTGTCTCTCTAGGTGTCTATCTCTCTCTGTGTCTCTGTCTGTGTGTCTCTCTATATGTGTCTCTCTATGTGTGTCTCTGTGTGTGTCTCTCCCAGATGCCTTTTATGACCTCCTGTCACAGGTGCTGGCTAAAGTGGCCACTCGGGACAGAGTCATCTTGTTGGGTGACTTCAATGCCGGAGTTGGTCATGATGCTGGCACCTGGTCTGGAGTGATTGGAAGGCATGGGCCAGATCAGCTCAATAACAACGGTAGGAGGCTGCTAGATTTTTGTGCAGCCCATGGGCTTGTAATTACCAACACGCACATCCGGCATCGGCGCATCCACACAACATCATGGATGCATGCCGGGTCCAAGCAAGAACATCTGCTGGACTACATATTGACGGACCAGCAGATGCGAGCCCATGTCCTTGACACCAGGACCTACCGTGGAGCTGATCTGCCCTCTGACCATCGACTAGTCATCTGTAAGATGCGCCTGCCATTCTTTCACTCTGCTGGTAGGGATGGCTCCCTATTGATTAACCACGTTATGTATGCCGATGATTTGGTAATAGCTGCTCATTCAGAGGAGGAGTTGGAGATGCTGCTGCTGAGACTGGAGCGTGCCACTAAGAGGTGGGGCCTTACCATCAGCCCCAAACTAAGCGCCTGCCTGGGTATTTTGTACCATCGGACACTCCAGCCCACAACTCCCAATCGGTGATGGGGCAGTAGTGGAGAGAGTGGAGAGTTTCCCATACCTGGGTAGTGTGCTTATGACCGGCTCCAGTTTAACAGCAGAGGTCTCACTCTGAATCAGTCGAGCGGCAATATATTTTCATCGGTTGTGTAACGCTGTGTGGAAGCTACCTGGTCTGTTGCTCCGCACTAAGCTTCAGGTTTCACTAGGCTGGATTGTGTTAAGAGCTCACAAATCCTTGAAAGATCTGGACAAGGTCTCATCGGTGAACTCCTCCGGCAGGCAAGGCTGCGTTGTCTGGGTCATGTAGCCCGCATGCCCAGCCACCGGATGCCTAAACAGCTTTTGTTTGGCCGGATCGAGGGGGCTAAGTGGGCGAGGCATGGGCTAGAGAAGAGATGGAGTGATGTGGTACAGGAGAACGTGGAGCTGAGTGGACTTGCCGATGACTGGTACCAGCGGTCTCAAGATCGCCCTCAGTGGAGGAGGCTCGTGAAGGATGCCACTGGGCAGTTGGAGGCAGTCGCCCTCCAACAACAATGGAGGGAGGAGGAGGGACTCTCACAACAACGAGCATCACCCAGTCATCTCAGTCGTCTCAGTCAGTCAACCCGTGGCACCTGGGTCTGCCCCGTGACCTCCTGCCAGCGGGCTTTCGACACTTCACGTGGCCTCAAGGTGCACATGGCCTGGCACAAGCATCGTGGTGACATCACCGCCACTTAGTGGCGAATGGTGGTTGTTGTTGCTGTGTCTCTCTCTGTGTGTGGGTGTGCCTCTCGGTGTGTGTCTCTCTCTCCTTCCCTCGATGTGGTGCTGTCCCTCGTTTGTTTCCCTCGTTTTCTAACGAGCTGGATGTCTCACTAGCACAGCCAACGTTGCATTGGTTCGTTTACATTGACATGCTAATCTCTCACAATACAATGGCCAGCTCTGAGTCGTCGTGCTTCAACCACAACCCCCCCTTCCCCCCCCCCATCTCGGCTCCCATCTTTGAATTTCCCACTCGCTAAGGCACAATCTCTAGCCCCCACCCTCTTGCTCGATGCGGCAATCCCCCCCTCCACCCCTCTCGGCTCTATATATTTAAGGACTTGTTTCAGCTGCTAGTTTCTCTCTCCCACCTGAAGACCGACTGCTTGTGTGGCGATCGAAACGTCGTGATCTATTATTTTTTCTACCTACGTGACTTTACCGAAAGAACCAAAGAGTATGGATTCCTGCAGTCACAAAAGCTTCAAATCAAGAATTTTCGTTTATATTAATAGCAACAATAACAATATTCTGTGCAAAGAGCAGACGTGAGAAACGAGCAACAGAGCTTCTTACCGGAAGTTTTTTCAACTTTGCGTTGGCCTCAAGAATGTTTCTGAGGGAAGAACTTGACTTGTCCGTCAGTGAGCAGCAATCCAGACTACAGGGAGGGGAGAGAGACAATGAGGAGGGGACAGTAGGAGAGCATGTGGGGGGGCATAGTGTGGATCGATGACTGGCGGTGATTCAGGGGGTTAGTGGTGGATGGGGGGCGAGTTGGTGAGGAGCATGGTTGTGGAGTCTGTGAGCACCTATTAAACTTACGCCAGCTTCAATGGGATCTCACAAATAGCAACCGCTGTTTCACTTTCGAAACATGCATTGAGATTACTTTGATTATTTTTGCTGATATGTGATAGCCAGGTCGCTTCTGAAAAACAAGTCAATGCTGAAGTAGGCTTTGCCTGGTAAGATGGGGATGGTTTAGTTCTATTTGTATGTTTAGGCGATGTGTTTACCTTTCTTGTACTTTGCACTCCAATTGTGTTTTTGTATTGTTGTTGCGATGTTCTTACCCCATGCCCCTACTATACATTGGTGAAGTGAAGCTTCATAGCTCATCGGATCCTTCCTCCAGTATAAACAAATATTTTTTTTCTAATTCTGAGGTTCATGGGGTTAAAATGCGACGTTTTCCTTTGTGCATGTGTAGAGGAGTAAAATGGGGACATGACGTCAGGTGTGCCGTTCAGTGTGATGACGTCACGTCTCCTAGGGTACTTAAGGGAGACCCCGTGACGTAAGCGGGGTCACTGTGGGAACGGGTAGAGTAAGCAGGGTGAAGAGGGAACCAGGGGTAGAGAAAGGGACCGAGTAGGGAGTCTGGGGAGAAGCCGGTGGTAGCCGATAGAGGTGCTTCTCTCTCCGGTCGGTGGAGTCGGCAGAGTCCACGATCCGACACGAGAGAGACCGGAGCTAGCCGGCAGGGACCCGGACTCAGAGTAGGAACCCTAGCCCCTGGGAGTTGTGTACCCTTGTGTAATATTGATAAGCTTTAATAAACCCTGGCGAAAGCCCTTAACTTACCTCCAAGTACGTCCGTCGGAACTTCTCTACACATGTACACAAGTGTGTAGCGATGAGCTTCGCTGTGCTATGAACCCAGCTACCCAAGTTTAATTCCTGCTCATTGACGACACCAGTGACTATTATCTGAACTGGTTCTGGGTCTCTCCTAGATCTGTTCTGCTGGCCACCCACTCTCTCATGTGCTGTGCTGGCCTTCATATTTTCTCCTACTCGCTACCATCACTTGCCCCAATGGTCTGTTAAGGCTATATGGGGGATCTTTGTCTTTGTATGTGAACACCTCTGGAAAAAAAAAACATCTTGCTGATTGCCGGTCGGTAACACTGTGGTGTGCTGTGAGCAGTGCCATTCTAGGAAGGCTATTTTTCTGAAGCAACCTGGCCACAAATGATAGCTCAACGAAGTGGCTTATCACGTGGAAATTTATAGCAGCCAAATACTCTAAAACACATGTTTAGAAATGTGGAGGGAAAAGCCGGAGGACCTAATGAAAAATTAACGCGTCTACATGTATAACATGCAAACTCCAAATACATCAGGGTCGGGATCAAACTCACGTACTCCTGCATACCAGGCAAGGTAGTTAACATCTACTCACCGCGGTCCCCCTCTCGGCGCTCGCAGCTGCCACGGTGGTCAATGGGTGCTCTGCAAATATGCAAGTGGCTAGTGACCCCTCCCCACCTTCAATGCCATTACCCTGCTAATCGACATACAAAAAACAAACTAAGCTTGTGCTGTAGGTCCTGATCCTGCCCACTCCAATCTTGGGGTTTTTCCAGAAACAGCAGCAAACACCTGCTTGTGGTCACATAGAATGTTGGAATGCTCACTGCGGATAAGAGACTGCCATTACAGTAGATAATCGATTATCCGGCACGCAACTATCCAGCTTCTAAAATTACCGGGCAGTTCCAGGCCGATCTGGCAAAACAGGCATGCAATCCGGCGATCGCCGTAATACCGCTCCGAAGGCTGCACCAGTCCGGCGATCGGCACCGTGTGCATACAAAAAACCAAGTAGCTATGTTCATGTGTGTGTGCGTGAATGTGTATTGCATCAGGACATCACTCACTCTAATGTCTCCAAGTTTCCTTCTCTCCCCACCATGCCGTCTGCCAGCAGTTGTATGCCCTCTGTCAGGCTGTTGCCACTCAGCCTAAACCCACGTGGACAAATAAGGGGACAGCCCTGACTCATTGAGCGCACGTGAACTGCAGCGTCAAACATGCTTGCAAGTGGTGAACATGAGCAGCACATATACACCGTGTTTATGTTATTTGGGTCTTTCGGTCAAAAGAAGTTCAACATACATACGGACAGGGTAAAGCATGTTATTTTATTTTTGTTAATGCTACTGGTACTTGTTGTATGTGTAAGAGGTGACATTCACGCATACTTATCACTGCACTTACAATATTTCAAACAACACACACACAGAAATGGGTACAAGCATACAAGCCTTTTTCTGCATATACAAAAAGCATCAACTGCTCATGAACAAATGCAGTGGTGCGCTTGTGTTAGCTCACCATCAAATTAAATTCGAGCAAATGTGACTCACTGACTAACAACAGTAGTAAGAGACAGCTCTGGTCACTTAGAGGCAAAGTCTTCCTCTGGGTGACGATATGTGTGGAGTATCCACTTTCACACCATGGGGTCCATTAAACTAAACTTTTTTTCATTTACCAAGTACGGCCCACTGAGCTATGTAGCTGTTTTTCAGAAGCGTCCTGGCCATCACGCATTATACCACGTGGACATTTAATGCATCTAAATCATCTGAAAGCGAGATCTTGATTCTTTATATGAAGGAGAAAACCCGAGGACCTGGAGAGCGACATGCCAACTCCGTCAGAGTCGGGATCGAACCCACAATTTCCTGCATACCATGCAAGGCAGTTACCATATCTTAGCCACCGTGGCGCTATTAGCTTGCAGTGACCTAAGATATGGCAATGCACTTCTTCAGTAAGTGCAGCTAGTTTTTGTACACGCAGAGGATATGTGCTTTTCACACGTTTATTTGTGTTGTATGAAGATTACGGTTTCACAGGCAGACTTCTTCTTTCATATGGCATTGTGAAAAGCACAGTTTTTATTTTTTCTTAATGATCGTCATAAATGAATGCAAAGGTTCCTCATACAGTCCAATTATGTGGTTGATGCAGTGTGGATTTCAGCGATACCGCCAGGATGTGAATGGATGGAGCATTCATCGGTGATGTGCTTAATGGTTTGGAATTCTCCACAGTCGCAGTTCAGTGATTCTTTGATCTGACATTTATGGAACGTGTACGTGCATCTGCCATGTTGTGTTCGAGCGTGGTTCAGCGTGGCCCAGTCATCATGGAAGAGAGAATCCCGGTACTTCTACTGTCGGATCGTGAATTATGTTTCTGTTTGCCACGTCCATAGCCGCCCACGATTCAGACCACCGAGTGGAGGTGTCTTTAATTTCGGCTGCTAGAGCGGAGGCGCGTATCCAGAACGGTTTCCTGTATTTTAAGCCTTGGGTGTGGGGGTTCCTTTAGATCTTGGTGGAGCGGCAGAGTGAAGTTCTTCATTATCTTGTTGTACTGCCATGTCGTCGCATCATCGCGTCAGATGTTGGCCGGAGCAATATTCGCCAACACAGGAAACTACGGGAGTGGAGTAGACTTTAGCGAACCGCTGATGATACGAAGCGCATTGTTAATTTCGGCGTCGACAAGGTTTGTGTGAGGGCTTGCACCCCACACTGGGGCACAGTACTCTGCAGTAGAGTGAACAAGAGCCTGCGTTGATATCTTCAACGTGCTGGCATCGCTCCCTCAGGTTGTCCCTGCAAGTTTCTGAATAAGTCACTCGTGCTTTCGTTTTATCTTAAGCTTGGTTGAGGTGGTGATGGTAGTTAAGCGTCTGATCCAGGGTAACTCCTAAATACCGAGGGTGGTCATCATGCTTAGCTTCGCCGCACAGAAATTAACGTTAAACGTTTTTAAAGCTGTCTGTTGTTCAGGTGGAAGGCGGAGATAACGCTCTTCGATGGGTTAGGTTTAAGGCACCAGACTGCACTATTATAATGGGTTTTTTGTCATTTACAGATTTCATGTGGAATATTATACTGTACTATACTGTTAGAATCTGGAAGAATGACATCTCATATGAAGACCACAATGTCGCCGTAGTTTACGCACAATGCTAATATTATGCATTGAGAAGTAAAGTTACTCATGAATGTCATATATGAATATTTCTCGTGTTAATCCTATCGTTATATACTTCATTCTACATTTAAATTTCTGCAGACTAAAAGCAGTAGTGTGTATGTGTGTAGTAACATGTATGCATTAGTGTACAGTACACGCACGTGTGTGTGTGTGCATTGGCAAAGTAGGGGACACAGCTGGTGTGCATCGGCCAGTCATCTCAGTCAGTCGACCCATGGCACCTTCTGGATCTGTCCTGTAGCAACCTGCCAGCGTGCATTCAACACCTCACGTGGCCTCGAAGTGCCTATAGCCTGGCACAAGCGCCGTGGTGATGTCACTGCCACTTAATGACGATTGTTGTTGTGTGTGTGAGAGAGAGAAATAAAGACAAATTAATAACAGTGCAAAAGCTTGAATTTATCTCCCTGACTTGCCACTACCTCGTTGTTGTATATGAGAGTTCGTCTAAGTGTCGTGGTGTGGTTGTCAGCATTTCTTCACGTGACTTTGGGCCACGATTTTGTTGCGAGCCTGTGTTCGCGCGCGTTCTTCAGCTGACGCGTGTGCTTTCGTATTTATCATACAGTAGTGTGTAGTGAGCAGATTGTGGTAAATGTGCTACAAACCCTGCGACCCGAGTTCGCTTGCCGCTCACGGCCAACACCGGTGACGATTATCTGAACCGGTTTTGGGAATTCCCTAGATCGCTTCAGCCTCAAATGAGTATCTGGTGCGGTGGATAAACATCAGCACTGGGGGAGACAAAGGCGGCCAGGAGTGGTGCTGGCCACCCACCCCCTCGGGTGCTGTGCCTTGTCCCAACAGTCTGTTAAGGCTATACGGGAGATCTTTGTCTTGATGTGTAGTGGAGGAATATGAGGTGTGGTGTAGTGTGAGGGTAAAGTGAGTATGAGGCGAGTGTGGCGTGACCCTAAGATTACGCAAAGAAAAGCCTGAAACGAGGCAGTGGCAAGGTTGGGAGATATATTCAAGTTTTTGGTACTGTTATTAATTTGTCTTTATGTCTCTCTCACACACACTCAACAACAACTGCCATTCGCCACTAAGTGGTGGTGACATCACCACGGCGCTTGTGCCAGGCTATGTGCACGTTAAAGCCATGTGAAGTGTCGAACGCCCGCTGGCAGGAGGTCACGGGACAGACCCAGCAGGTGCCATGGGTTTGACTGATTCAGATGACTGCCGATGCACCACCTGTGCCCCCTACTGTGTCAATGTGTTTTATCAGCTCGTTGTTGTGAGCGTGGCTCCTCTACCTCTCTCACACAAACACACACTCGCACGCAAACCCACCATTTGTGAAGCAGTTGAACGCAAGGCGCGCGAGTCTTACCGCAACACTTTACACCTGTGCAGCGCAGGCTGGAGCCTCTTCATATCCTCGGTGCCGATGCCGCAGCTCTGCAGGTTGAGGCGGTGCACGGGCTCGTCCCGGAACTGCAGCGTCCAGCAGAGCGCGGCGCAGTCGAGCGAGGACAGCCTCGTGTAGGAGAGGTCCAGCGCGGCCATGGAGCCGGTGGCCTCGCTCAGTGCCCCCGGGTCCTGCAGCTCGTGCAGCCGATGGAGCAGACTGAGGAGCCGGTGGCCGTTCTGGTTACGTGTAGTCCTGTTGTGCAGCGTGATCCACTCGTTGATTGCCGTCTGGGACTCAACAGACGGAGGGTCAACAATGCCATCGAGGATCTTCCATGGAGCATCTGTGGCCAGTCCGCAAAGGAACCTCTGAAACACGTCGTAGCGCCCGTCCTTGTCGTCCTCAATAGCCTTGATTACACGAGCAACTGAGTGCTTGGAGGGCCATATTAGCTCGGAGACTGGCGCAAAGAATCCACGTTTGGGTTGTTCCAAATACACCGCCAGGGCGGCAAGATATTCTTGGATTGTCAGGTGGGAAAATGAATATAACGTGTCGCGCCTGATGCCATCCCATCTAAAAACCTTATTGATGAATGTGCTCGATCCTTCAGCAATGGTGACCTCAAACTTTTGAAGGTGCGCGCGCGTGAATATCTGCATGTTGTCATGGACCCCTTCGAGAGCCATTTTAGAAAGCGATGCAATGATTTTGCTGGTCTCTGTTGAATCACCCGTGTGGTGTTTGATGAGCACGAACAAGTAACGTGTAAACAGATCCGTCGTAGACCTCAGGGCAAATTCAGAATTGCCCGGGCGTTTTATTAGATCCCCAATTGTAATGGCGGACATGTGACAGAACGAGGGATTGTAGCACAAATCACTCAGCGTTGCATTTTTCTCCAGAAGCTGATACGCTCTCTCTCCCAGGATGGGGTCCTTGTAGAATTTGCAAAAGAACGATTTTCTCTCTTCCACAGAAAACCCAGTTATCTCCACTGAGCGGTCAACTCTCACTGCATCCAACTTCTCCATCGCTATCGGCCTGGTCGTTATCAAAACAGAAGATCCTGCGAGGAGCTTTCCAGTTACCAAACCAGCAATGAGCGCTTCCAAATTTGTTCTCTCGCGGGGATCATTACAAGCCTTTGAGAAGTCAAGATGCCTCCCAAATTCATCCAGACCGTCCATCACAAACAAGACTTCCTCTGGTTTTTCAAATACATAATTGGCCATCTCTCCCAAACTTGGATTCAGTGTGCGCAGTAACTCTGCGAGTGACACCTCGCCAATATCACTCATCTCTCTGAATGGAATGTAGATAACAACTTTGAATCGCCGATCGAATATGTTGCCATCTGTCACCAACCTGTACACAACCAGTTTGCTGAGAGTGGATTTACCAATGCCGGGAACCCCAACCACAGCAACCAGTCGAGGCGGCTCTCCATTGGATTCCATTGGGTCAAAGAGTTGCAGGAAGGTCATGCCATTGCTAATCGCTTCTTGCATCATCGTCTCATGCTCACAGGCCCTGTCAAGGAATTCGTGCCTCTTCCTCTCACCCCTACGGTGGTAACACACCAACACAGGCTGCACAAATCTTTCTGGTATGAATATCGTTTCTCCGGGCAGGTAGTCTTGTATAAATGAGGTTTCTCTCTTCATGTAAGTCCTGTATCTTTCGAGATGTTTACCTAAAGTGACAGAATCAAGTCGAACGTGTTAATGTTTTTATTGCCTTGAAATCAGAATCTGTATTTATACTGCAGGAGGAATTCGGTGAGCTGTAAAGCTTTTTTTCACAGATGTCCAGGAGGGGTACAGGGTAAGAACGTCACAACAACAAACAGTAGAAAACACGAGAGGAGTACAAAACACGAGAGGAGTGCAAAGCATAGAAAAGGTAACCAAATCTTTTAGAAATATATACCAAGAAAAGTAAACTAATTTATCTTACCAGGTAACGCCCATGGAGCTATATAGCGCTTTTTCTGAAGCGACCTCGCTATCACAAATGATAGCTCAACGAAGTGGCTTATCATCATTGTGTGCAAATGTATAGCAGCACAATCAAACATAATATCGACAGGAGTATGATATTGAATATTTAAATACAGCAGAACATAAGTGTAGTGGTTAGCATACTGTGCTATAAATCAGTCGAACTAAGTTTAATTCCCAGCCATGGCTAAGACCAGAATCAGAATCTTTATTTGTCCTGGAGGAATCCGATGAGCTATGAAGCTCTTTTTCACAGTTGTTCAGTAGGGGTCAGTGTTGTGACCGGCGATTCATACCTCTGACAGCCCTTCACCAACCCAGAAACGACACTTCATTGATTGACAAAGCACTGTGAAGTAATAATAATTGTAATTTAGATTGGGGATAGCTGTCATTATAATGACTGTGTGTGTGCGCGACTCCGTGTGTGCTTGTGTGCGGAGTGGTAGTGAAATGTTAGCACGCTGCGCTACGAACCCGGCGATGCTAGTTTGATTCTCGCTCTCAACCAACACCTGTGACAATTATCTAATTGGGTCCTGGGGCTTCACTAGGTCGTCTCAGCATTGCCGCTGAGGAGTGAAAGGTGGCCAGGCGTGGTTACTGATTACCCACCCCCTTGTGTGCCGTGCCGGCACTCATAGGTGTAACTTGCTAACAGCACTTTCCGCAACAGTCTGTTATGGCTATCCTGGGGGATCTTTGTCTTTGTTTTTTGATTATCTATATATATAAAATCGCAAATCTGTCTATCTGTCTGTCTGTGTGTGTGTCTGTGTATCGGACCATACGCAGTTTCATTGGACGAAATGTCAGGGATTTGCGAGACACGATTGGTCCGGCGGTTGCCCCTGGCAACGGGTAGCGACGCATTCGCCGCGGGGTGGACGCCATTTTTAATTCCCGTTAAAAATAGGTGCACGCATTAACACGCGACTCTGAGGTAAATTCATCAAAGTTTCACGTCCTCTTCACTCCCCCCCCCCCACCACAATGTGTGCAATTACTATTATAGGGTCGGTAGATTATAAGATTATAGCAATTAGACAGTATTATTGTAGCGCGGGGGGGGGGGGGGGGAACGGCACCCGTACCCAGCCTCAGCCGGGTGGGCAATTTAGGCGAGGCCGGAGGCTCTGCACGGTACTAGGCCTCGACACCCACCACGTGACTCTGAGGTAAATTCATCAAACTTTCACGTCCTCTTCACTCCCCCGCCACCCCAATGTGTGCAATTACTATTATAGGGTCGGTAGATAATAAAATTATAGCGATTAGACAGTATTATTGTAGCGCGGCGGGGGGGGGGGGGGGGAATGGCACCCGTACCCAGCCTCAGCCGGGGGGGCAATTTAGGCGAGGCCGGAGGCTCTGCACGCTACTAGGCCTCGACACCCCACCACACTATAGGCCGTACATACTACTGCACAGCGGCCGAGGAGATCGTGGCTGGGGGGGGGGGGGCAGGGGTAGCAGCCCATCTGTGTATATATGTAAGGTTATTAAGAAATATATTTTTCACCCGGGCAACGCCGGGTACTGCTGATAGTCACTTATAAAGACAGTCACTCCTATACTGTATCATCAGATCTGCGAAATATTATGAGTTGAAAATGTTTAAACATCAAATAGACACCTATTGCAAGATATATAATCTGTATTAACCACACATGTCTATGGTAAAACATACAAACATTACATAGGTACAAAATAAAATAAATCACGACGTTTCGGGCTCAACACAACATCATGCAAACATTCTTTGGTAATAAGAATAATACCCTATGCATTTATCTTTGAAACTCATTGTCCTACACCAAAGACAGCCTCCATGCTTGCCTTGTCTAACCAAAGTAATGCCTTGCAATAGGTGCTTATTTGGTGTTTGAACCACCGTAACACTTATATCATTGCCGGAAAGGCTAGAGCCTATTATCTTTTTCATTATTTTGATACCGGCAAAAAAGGGTCCTGCTCACAGAAGATGTTGGACAAATCTAATACTGAGGAATTTACCAGTTTCTGGAATGTAGCAGAGACCACAGCATTTAACACGCGATGCAGAGCAAACCAGATTGGTGGAGGTCCATGTAAACATATTGGTGCATCACAAATGATGCTCTGAGAGTTAACACAGTATTTTGTGACTAATATTATCCATAAAACTCTCATGAACGCTCTGAAAGTTTTAATCCGTGTTATTGGTTGACGTGAAGAGGAAATTGTGTTGCATCTTCTCTGATTGCATGGGAAAAGTGTCTGGTGTGCTCATCGCTAGTGTGTCTTTTGCATTGAGCCATGTACCAGCAGGTCTGCAAGGTTTGTGTCATCTGCGAAATGCACAGAGGTGGTTCCTTTGAAATAGTTTTCATTATTTTGATACCACGACTATAGTGGGTGTCCCATAGGTTAAAACATTATTTGTCTCAAATGTGGACGAGTTTTGCTGTGAATGTTCACATGCCACAGCGTCCATACAAACTTCCACTCACCAAGAGCCACTCCAGGGACGCCACTGTCCCCGTCTTTGCCGAGTGTCAGGCCCAGTCCGCGCAGATCCTCCTGGTGGCGTGAGACCCACTCGCTCAGTTGGGGGATCCTGGACCTCAGCGGCAGAAGCACCTCCTGCAGGAACTGGCTGCAGGTGTCCTCCCCCTTGTCGAGCACCAGGTCGATGAGGCGTCTGATCTGTCCAACTGGGTCTGTGTCACTTCGGAGCTGTGCGTACTCCCTGCGCCGAATGATGTCGTCTTGATCCGAACGGCTGAGCACGTCCGGCGCAAATGGATACAGATGTTCTTCCAGATACACTCGGTGCTTTTTTATGACTTTCCACGAGGGACCAGCATTTGAAGCCATGGCAATCAGCTGATGATATCCTAAATAAATAAAACATTTAAAACTGTGAGTTATTTATTAATTAATGTAACAATGATTACTATCATTACAATGACTATCAAACAGCCTCCTTACACCGCATAGAGAATAAAGCTTACATGGCATGGCTACACAGAACTAAGAGCCATAATTCGGACCCAACACACAGGGAGAAGGATAATGAACCCAACCTCTCAGAGAGAAATAAAAATCACACAAGCAGCCATCGCACTCCAAATACGAGGCATTCAATGCATAGACCTATGCAAACATGACTCCTTGTAAAAAGGTGTCAGTTTTGTTGCCAGATAGAAGGGTAAAAAAAACAATTCATATTTTTACTGGCATATGAGGTTTCCATAGTGTAGATGCTTGCCCCGAGCTCTCATACTCTGATGGTGCATTGTCTTTGAGTTGTGCTCCTTTTGGCGTCATCTGGTCCAACCCATGTGAGACTAGGCTCTAAGGAAAGCTGTCTCGGGTGTGGACCAATCAACTTCAAGGACAGTGCACATTATCAGAGTTATGTCTTTTGTTTGTATTATGACTGCAGGTATTGCGGTCTATGCAAACATGACTCCTTGTAAAAAGGTGCCAGTTTTGTTACCAGATAAAGGATAAAAAAACAATTATCATATTTTACTGGCAAATGAGGTTCCCATACTGCAAATAATAATTACTAGTAGTAGACAAAAGGTCACCTAGAAGAATTAAAGGCAAAATAAGTCAGCCATACCTAACCAAGATATAATCTACTCCATAAGAAAAGAGCCTCCCAACCGTCATGTCTTCCCGCAGCACGGGATAGCAAAGAAGTTAACGCCCAGAGCGAGGGGAGTGGCTCTCACAAAGAGGTTTATTGCAGGTTGGGCATCTGTGTTCCACAGATAAAAAGATGGCTTGGGGAAGGAGATTTAACAGATGTCTCAATAAAACACATGCACACACGGACACACATACCACTCCCCCTCCCCACAGCCAGCGAAATCAAAGAAAGTCAGGCCCTTTTGTGAACAGAGAGAGGGGAGGGATTATACAATTCTAAGTACCAACACGATTCACAAATCGTCAGTCTTGCTACAGTCTTGCTCCAGTCTCACAAGGGCGAGTCTGGCGGTGCCGTCGCGAGGGAGCAGGCACCGACCCCAACCATGGGTGTCACGTCTCGCAGAAAGAAGTGACGATGTGTGTTTGGAGAGCTGGGTTCGGCATGAGCTGACAAGAGTATCACCGAAAGTGTTATGCTACATTTACCCTGATGTTGATACATTCGCAAAGTCAAGGATTGCGACTAGTGGTAGTGTACTAAGCTTTCACAGTTGTTTAAGAGGTGTGCGAATACAATTCACAACTTTTGAAAGTGAGCGCGCAGCAAAAGCGCCGTGAGATCATCATCACCACCGACGCAGGAGATCATCACCACCGATACAGAAGCTTGCCGGCAGAAGAAGACTCCGCAACTCATCAAGGATGGAGAGGCTCGCTGAGTAGCGACATGCTAAACCAAGCAAGAGTTCTGCGCCAACAGAAGAAGTATCGCTCCACCGATCCGCTGCAGTGCGAGTAAAGCTGGCGAAATTCCAGCTATCACTCTCGTGAAATAGCGGAAAGCGCCCAACATCAATCAAGCAACGAATGAGAGCATTGTTCATTGCCAGAGAACCCGGAGCCGGAGAGCGAGCACAGCCGTGTCGCCTAGTGCCCAGGGCACAGGTGCCAGCCTACCAGCGCACGAGCGAACGAGCACTGCCAAGCACCGCCGGGCACCACTGGGGCCACCGGGCACCACGAGCGACCGAGCCTCTTCAAGGACAACATCGTGCCGACGCCGCTCATCTAGCAGCGGAGAGAGAAAGCCGGTGGCTCACTGCAGCCACGCCCGAGCGAGAGGGAACTCCTCCGAAGCCGTTCGTATGATACGCCCTCCCCCACACTCACAAACCCACGACGCGCCCGGCGTCTGCTCACACAAGAATTTATCAAGGGGACAATCAAACACCCCCACACAATGGAATCAACCCTAGCCAATCATAAGAAGACTAATTATAAAAGTGCATGAACCATCAGCTGGCCGTGAAGGCATCCCGGCTCTACGAGTGATAAGAATACGTCGTTTATAAGTACCTCAGTCGTTTTTTCTCTTATTTTTTTGTATTTTTATATTACTTCTAATCGCATAAATTACCAATAGATTCATCGACACAAACGAAACGTTTGAAACCTTTGTCACGAATCTACACGCTCACAGAGAGAGAATATCGTGTTAAACCTGCTTCTTCATCATAGAATCTTGTTCACGAATTAATTAACGCTTAGCCAAAGATAATAATCTCCCGTACGAGGGCACGCACACACGCACACCATTGTTCGAAGACATTTCGTTAATTATATAATGTTGCCGATGAATCTATTGACGTATATGTTTGCCTTTGGGGTAGAAGAATTTGCTTTTATTGCCTTTCATATGAATATCGTTGCATGCCTGTTTTAAAGACTCTCCATCTCCGTCTAAGCTCGCGTTACGCGGTGGAATTAATTATATGTGCAGTTGCAAAAGTGAAACAACGCAATCCTTGATGGTTATCTATACTGCTCGTGGAGGGAGATTTCCCCGATGGTACCGTGGATAATTCCACCCAACCCCACCCCTCCCATTTTTGGATGCACGACGGACGGACGGACACAATAATCCCCTGTGGGCTGGTGTAACCAGGAGGTTCCTACCAGTATAAATATCCCATCCTATATGTACAATATTTATAATATATGCAGTGACGAACAGGGGAAGAGAACAAATGTACAGAACCAACAGTAGGCAAAAACACAACGGAAGAGAGAAGGGAAGAGAGAAGAGAGGATGAGAAAAAATGAAAACACGCGGTAACACACGAAATCTTGGGACCCCCTCCAGCACAGGCATCACCCATAACAACACCCGCAAGCACAATAAAGGCCAGGTTCAGCCAATGATCAATACATGACGAGTGCGACAACCAACTGACGGCATGAGTACGTGAGTACGTGTGTATGGGGGTCACGAAAACCGAACGGTCTTGAGTCCTGGTGGCCGGGCCCCTGTTGTATATGTCGGGTTTTGAAAAATTTATAAAAAAGAAAAAAAATTCAATGCAGATTTTAAAAATGCATAATTAGCGAAAAATGTGCTAATTTATTAAATGATGCACATAAATTATGCTAATGTCGTGTTGTTTTATGCGAATGTATATTATACTAATGCGGGTTGTTATGATAATTAGACTTAGCTTCGTTGTCCAGGTTCGTATTATCAATCGGGATAATGCAATTATTATAGCTTAAACATTTAATTATTATATCTTAGTGTGTTTATGTCAGGTCTCCAAATTCAAATCTCAACGCAGGATGCAGTTCTTATAAATAAGATTGTTATGCATGAACTCAGGAAAGAAACTCATACACTTCTGTGTTAAGCAATTTTTATTCTAAACAAAAACATGACACTCTAATATGCGAACTCCCATGCTTGGAATCATCCACGGTACCATCGGGGAAATTTCCCTCATTGAGCAGTACATTTATCCATCAATGATTGCGTTGTTTCACTTTGGCCACCGAACATGCAACGATATTCATACGAAAGGCAATAAGCAAATTGTTATATCCCGAAGGCAAAGTATATATCAATTAATTGGCAAGATTATGCAATTAACAAAAACTAATGACTAAAATACTTCTAACAATCGTATTCATGTAACTTGATGGGCAGAAAATGCTTTTCACGATCAGTTGATATTTAACGCACCACCTTGGAATGGCAACCCTTCTCGAAACATAAAAATAACTTTTTGGAACAATCTTATTCGTCCCGATATGCGTGTTGTGTGTGTAAAGCAGATGCCGAGGTTGGGCATTCCTTGTACCAAAATTTTGTTTGTTCCCTGCGGAGTGGTGAGTGTGTGAGGGTGGGCATGTCATACAAACGGCTTCGTTGCTCCCTGTCTCGCTCGGGGCGTCGTCTGCAGCTGTTTGTCCACTGCTGGGTGACGAGTCTGCACGACGCTCGCCGTCGTGGTGCGCGATGATTCCGTCATCAGATAGCACGGGCAGCTCGTCAGCTGCGCAGGTTCTTCACTCTTGTTTTGGTTCCCAGCTGGTGCTGGTCGATGTGTGTGTGTGTATTAAACACACGGCGCTCTCGCTGGCGCTGACACTCTTGCTCACGGGCGGCTGGTCAGGCTCTTTCACCTGCTCCGTGCTCTCTCCTTGATCGTGCAGCTGCCAGTTCACACGGACACCCGCCCTTACTTCAGGGCTGCGTTGGCTCAGGCTCTTTCCACTGCTCCGTTCTCTCTGGCGATGCACGATGGCTCTTGTCGCTTATCTGCTGCTGCTGGTGCCGACACTCTTGCTTGGTGGCGCTGGTTGCGTGCTCTCTTTCCTGCTCCGTGCTCTGGCGATGCATGATTGCAGTTGCAGCTTGTCCTCTGCTGCTGGTCCTGTGCGATGCTCGCTTGGTCGATGCTTGGCGCTTTCTGCCTTTTCTCCAGGTTGTTTCCTTGTCGTTGCTCGTCACTCTTTCTCTCTTGCTCTCTTCTTGATCGTGCAGCTGCCAGCTTCACACGGACACCCGCCCTTACTTCAGGGCTTGCGCTGGCTCAGGCTCTTTCCACTGCTCTGTTCTTTCTCATTTCTATCTCCTTGTTTTTGCCCTTGGCATGCAGCGGCCAGCTTCACACGGGCACCCGCTGGTGCCTCTCCCGGTTTCACTTCAGGGCTTCGCCTTATTGTTGCTCAACTTTCGTGCTCTCCACCCTTCTTCCAAGAGGGCTCTTGCTGTGAGCTGCTCGACGCTGGCTGGATCACTCACTCTCAAAACTTGTAAATTGTATTCGCACACCTCTTAAACAACTGTGAAAGCTTAGTACAATACATGGGTTGGAGCTGTCTCGGGTGTGGAACAATCAACTTCAAGGACAGTGCATACATTATTAGAGTTATGTTTT